CATTGTGCCCATGACGATAGGCGTGCCCTTGAGAGAGAGGTCAAACCACCTCACTATACCCCGGGGGGCCGCGTGCACTCACTGTACGGCTATGAGCACCTTCGTGGAATGTTCCGTTGGTGTTTTTTCTTTATTTTTTGATATTCGATTTCATTCGTGCGAGACACTCGGGCACTCGGTTTGCGCCTGGACCCCTCACAGAGCGGCCCACACACACACACACACACACACACACACACACACACACACACACACACACACACACACACACACACACACACACACACACACACACACACACTCGGGCACTCGGTTTGCGCGTTCCTAACCCTAACCCTAACCCTAACCCTAACCCTAACCCTAACCCGTTGGCTCACCAGGCGGTACCAGTACGAGGCCGATCTGAGAGGAGTGCGAGTTCGCCAAAGCCGTCTGAATCTACCAACTGGAGGTAGCGCTCCTGCGCTCGACAGTTGCAGCCACTGCGGTGCATCGCCGCCTCGATTGCGTACTCGCCACTCTCGATGACGTAGAAGCTATCGCTTGCATCTACGCGTACCGTGTCCATAGATGCAAGGAAGCTGGTGGAGCGAGAGAAGCAACGTGAGCAGGCAGGGGTAGCGCACCACCCACATTGAAGAGGACCGTGCCTACTGTGATCGGAATCCGGTGAAAGTGACGCGTCAATCTCCGCAGGACCGCTTCGGGCACGTGTTGCAAAAGATCGATGCTGCGAAATGCCTCAGACACGAGACTCATCACAAAGTTGGAGGGATCTAGGGTGTTGTTGTTGCTCATAGTGCCCTTTGTAATGCACTTTGAGCCGGGCGCTCCGCTGGACTCGTTCCGTTCGCAGCTGATGCGGCCACTCACCGTCTTCCTTACTGTGTCGGGCAATACACGGATATGCGTCCATCTCATACCTGATAACACGCTTTGCATAACATAATGCCAATCTTGTGCGCTCCCTGCTCGAGCACAAATTATGGTGCCGGGCGCTTACTGCGTGGAAACAGGTGATGCTCTTGCCAGCTATGGGGTTGGGAAAGTGTAGCTCCTCCAGCACACTGGCGTAGTTGTGTATGCGCTGCCACACCTGTTTGTTGCACTTTCAAGTTTGAGCAAAGGTCAATATTATTATACATTTTCAAGTTTGAGCAAAGGTCAATATTATATTATACATTTTCTTTTTGAAATCCTAGAAAAAACGCGTGCGCGCGACGCGCGTGGAAAAGCCCTCTGTGTCGCGAAAAAATCGGCGGACGAGGTTGCAGCTTTATATGGTGTCGATAAAAAAACGCGCTGCACGCGTCGCAGGTGGAAAAGCCACCTGCCTCGCGAAAAAATCTGCGGTTGCAACTTATATGGTGTGGATAGACGGTCGCGAGCATTTTTTCCGTTAGATATTCCCTGGAATATACATGTAGACCAGTGGAGGGCTGCTTCTCAGGGAATATATCTCTCCGGTAGCTTGGGGTAGCTCGGGTGGCCACCCGTGCGGGCCGTGCGAACGCGTGTTTTGTCGCACGAGTTCGCACGGCTGATCAGTGATCACTCAAGACACCGGTTATAACCTGTCTGGAGTAACCTGAGAAAGAAGTCTCCTTCACCTGAAGAGTTACCGACATGCAGATGCAGCGGGCGGGCCTCGGGAGGATCGACCGATGCAGGCACCGAGTCCTCTCGCAGCTCACGGGCTGCTCGCAGGTCTCAATCAAGAGCTGCCATTCTACATGGCAGCCGCTCTCACTGCGCTACTGCCCCATCCAACCATCCATCTTCTTTGATTGACAAGTCTGATGTTGATTCGTATACCGCTGAGATCAATCAGGGAGTTCGAACTGGCGTTAGACCAATCACCATTACGGGTTTACGGCTCGATCTCGTACCAAGCAAGCCAGAGTGGGGGAGTGTGCATACTCGGCCCCTATAAACGCTACACAATACAGTACTACTCCAATCCTTAGGAACTCTTGTCATAGGAACTCATCAATAGATTTGGGCCAGTTCCTATTACTGTAGGCAAACAGGCGCGGCTCGCCGACAGAGACGCGCATGGTCTCCGCCAGCGGCAGAATGTTGTCAATGTACGTGTGCGCCATGTTATATCATGTTGCATGTCACCGAGACTCACACACTACATACTATGCATATCAAATATGCTCTACCAGGCACTTGTGATGTGCCCAGACGCCCGGGACATTACGGACGTGGAAGTAGGGCTATAGGTATAGCCGATAGGTGGCTGCCGGCTGATTAGAACACCACAGCTGAGAGCTGTTCATGGAGCTGTTATCTGGAGTGATGGACAGTATGTTTAAGAGGCTTTAGTCGCAGTCGAAGTCTGAACACTGGAGTGATGAGTCTGATTGCAGTCGAGCCAGGCGAGTCGCGAACGGCGTGCCTTCCGATCGCACACACTCCTGTGTGGACGCTCTCACTGCAGTCAATATATCGGCGAGGATTTCAAATCGTTGGAGTCATCGTTGTTGTAATTGAGACTGACGGCCGTCCTGGGTTGTATTTACAGAAAATAAAACCGGCTCGGGGGGAAGATACCGTACTCGTACAGGGGTGTCAACAATAGTGTACCAGTAGGATCCGGGCGCTACGTCTCCCGTAACGGACATGCGTCAAAATCGTCTGTCCGATCCACACCGCATGCGCACACCTTTTGTGCGAGAGCTGTGCAGAGACGTTTGTTATCTTGAAAAGCCGCGATTTCTTTTTCCTTACAAGAGAAGGTTGGCGGCCTAGATCGCAGGAAGCCGCTGCATGGCTCCCGGCGCACAGGTCGACCTGATCTCGTACCTCTCGGGCGCCGGCCTCGCCGCGCTGGTCAACTTCCCGCTCTGGAAGGCCGCTGCCATTGGGCAGAGTGGCTTCACGGCGCAGGGGCCGACCTTCTTCGCGAGGCTAAAAGTGCTGCTCGGCCCGCCGTACAAGGGCGTCGCGGCGACGCTCTTCGGCATGACGTGGGCACGCGCCGCGATCTTCTACTGCGCCGACGCCGGCCGTGACCGCATGCTCGCGCTGGGCGCCTCGCCTGCCGCGGCGACCGCCCTGCCGGCGGTCGGCATCTCGACGCTGGTCCAAGTGGTGAACCAGCCAATCGTGCGAGGGACGATCACGATCCAGGACCCCAGCTCGCGCCACGCCGGCCTCGTCGCCGCCCTCCGCCACATCCACGCCACGCGCGGCGTCAGCGGCCTTTGGCACGGCGCTCTCTCCCTCACCCTCGCCCTGCACTCTCGCTGCGAGCCCGGCACCCCTCTCTCATCGTCTTCTCTCCTCCTCCTCCGTCTTCTCCTCACCTTCCCACCCGCTCTCGCCTTCTTCTCCCGTCTCACGTCACCGCCACCGCCACCATCGCCGTCGCCACCGCCTTCGCCGCGCCCTCGCCACCTCCGCCATCGCCGCCGCCGCATGCATAGCACTTGTTCCCGCCCCTACACAGTGTCCCCTACAGCCAGTGGCGCCAAGCCTCTGGCCCCATTCCCCAACGCCGACCCCCAAACCCCTAGGCACGGTTCCCGCGGTGGCAAAGACGGTGCCGAAGTATGTCGTGGCGATCTGGGTGTGTGGCAGGGCGCGGGGCAGGAGGCCGCTTCTGCGAACCATCAACTGCGACGCGTCGCCCGTGATGAATTAGGTGAAGGACGCGATGCAAGAGCTGCTGCCGAAGCCGACGGCGCCGCCCGGCGCGCCCGGCCACAGGTCACAGGTCCTCCAGGCGCGCGCATGCCCAACTGCTAGTTGCGTCACTCCCGCGCCCACGGAGCGTCACCCCCGCGCCACCGGACAAGGCCAGCAGCAGCAGCAACTCGATCCCGTTGTCCCGGGCGGCGGCTGTCAAGCCGATCTCGGCGACATCTCGGCGACATCGCGGCGACATCTCGGCGACATCTCGGCGAGATTTCGGCGAGATCTCGGCGAGATCTCGGCGACATCTCGGCGACATCTCGGCGAGATCTCGGCTAATCTCGTCCAGGCGTCGGCGGTCAAGTCGATTGCTGCGGGCGTCGCCGGCGCCGCGCTGTTAACGAACCGTGGCACTTAATTTGAGTGGTCGGTGAGAACGGTTTAATGCGAACTGCCAGGCGCCGCGCCGACTAGGAGTTACTAACAATGAAGAATCATGAAGAATCATGAAGAATAATGAGAGGTGCCGCCAGGCGCCGCGCTGACTAACCCCCTGGACGTGATTCGAAACGAGATGTTCAAGACGGATGAGGCGCGGGATGGGGAGATATGGGGAGATATGGGGAGATATGGGGAGATATGGGGGATGCCGCCGGCCGTCGAGATGTTCCCATGTTGTCGTCGAGATGCCGTCGAGATGCCGCCGGGATGTCGCCGAGATACAGTCGAGATGCAGTCGAGATCGAGTCGAGATCTAGCCGACATTTGTTCTGGTCAGGCGCTCGGCGAGACGACGCGTCGGTTGCTGCGTCGCGAGGGCGCGTCTTTCTTGTGGCGAGATCTAGCCGAGATTCAGCCGAGAGGCAGCTGAGGGGCAGCCGAGGGGCAGCCGAGGGGCAGCCGAGGGGCAGCCGAGGGGCAGCCGAGAGGCAGCCGAGGTGTCGGCCGGCCGCGATGGTGGCGAGGCATGGCGCGCGACCTCGCCGCCGAGATTGCCCGAGATCACCCGAGCTGCACGCCGAGATTAGGCGGGGCATGGCGCGCAACCTCGTCGCCGTCGCCGCCCCCATCGGCATGACGATTTTCCTCACGGACGCGATCGTCGACTACCGCAGCTCGCGCGGCGTCGCCTCCCCCGCCGCCTCCGCCTCCGCCGCCACAGCCCCCGCCGCCTCCGCCGCCGCTTCCGCCGCCGCTGCCGCCGCGCCCGCCGCCGCTGCCGCCTCCCCCGCAGCCGCCGCCGCGTCCGAGCGGGGGTTGCGGCCGATATGAGCTGTTGGAGTCCAGCCAGTGGCGGTGTCGCTAGAGGCGGCGCGGCACAGGGAGCCGGCGGGACACTTGTCCGGGACACGTCCACGACATGTCCGAGACACGTCCTTGTAGGTGTCGCGGCGCAGTGGGCTTGCGCCAGGCGCCCGCCGGAGCCCAGAGATGCCCTCGTGGAGAGGGCGCAATGGGTTGGTGGCGCGCGTGGTGGCGCGCGTGCATGCGCATAGTCGGTGTAGGCGGGAGCGTTCGTGGGAAACGCCGGGTTGAGTGTTGATCATGTGTGAAATGTGCCGCGTCGAGCAGTTGTGTGCGGCACGGCCCTCCATGTTTAAACGCGCGCGGTGGTGTGCCGTGTGCGCGGTTGTAATGTCTCCTCAGGACGGTTCCGTTTTGTGTCTCGACCACAACTCTCAGAAAGCGCAGGTCCCGCACAAAGTGGCCCTCACACGTCGGGGGCCCGCACCGGCCGCCGCAGCGCCGGTCGTCGGACACAGTCGCCGGACCGACGAACCGCTCGGAGCCAGTAGTCCCAGCTCAATGCCACGCACCACGCCCAGGCAGCCGACAATAATAATCGAGACGACACACTCCAAACATTCGCACGCACGTCACCTGCGTGAACGTCACACACCTCGCAACTACAGCGGCGCGAGGGGCACAGACTCCTCCGGCTCCTGAGAGCTCACAGCTCACGTCGGCAGAGGGGCGCAGAACGCCTTCCTCGGCCCTCAGACCATCTGCGCTGGGGCTGGTGGGTCAGCCGAAGCGCGAAGCGCCGAGTCGCGAGTGACGCGGACGGCGAGCGCGACAGGGAGTACGGTCACGGTCACCCACAGGGTCCACGCGGGAAGAACGAGCGCCGTGTCGCGTGGGTCATCCCCATCCTCGCCGTACTCGGCCACGGTGGGTGAGTTGTTGTCGGTGAGCGCAGGTGGCTCGGCCTCGAGGAACGCCGCGCTAATGGACTCCTTGACCTCGTCGAATTCAATGTCGCCATCTTCGTCGATGGCCTCTTTGCCAAAGTACATCATGACCTTCGTTCGCACGTGGTCTTTGATTGCCTCTGTGAACGTGGTGAGGTTGAAGGCCATCAAAGGCATGACGGCCTCGCACCACGCGTCCGTGAACGCGGTCACGTTGAAGGAGAGAAGGTTGCCGAGCTGCAATGCGAGGTGGGCCTGGGCCTGGGTGAGCGCCGACTCGACGAAGCCCAGGCCGATTGCTGTCGCGTTCGGAACGAAGGCGAGTGCCTCGAAAGTTTTCTCGGCAGGCGCGGCCGTCATCGCAGCCGCCGACTCGGGCGTGCTAAATGCATGGCTGGCCGCGAGAGCTCCGACGATTAGCAAGCAGAGCTTCATGGCACCTTCCAGCAATCGGCGACCACCGCGCTGAGGGGGACAGCTGCCGCCGAATTTCGGAGAAAGAGGTAAATACTAGGAACCACAATACCGTAGGGCTAAGGAGGTGCATGCGTTCCTGAAGGTGCATGCGTTCCTCGCGCACACTTCCCTGCCAGGTATCAAAACCACCTTCCCATGGTATACCTGTCTACTCGCGATTCATTGGTTGGGGGGTGGCGGGCTATGTATGTTGGCTACTCGAACGAAGCAGCCGCGGTCGGACAGAAGGGGAAAACAAGGAAACCGAAGGGGGATGCAACGCGGGCCGGCGGGCGTAGTAGCTAGGGGCGAGGCAGCGCATGCTGCGGCGGATCGTCCATGAACTGCGCCGTGAGGACCTCTCAATCTGACAATGAGGACCTCTACTTGACAACTTGAGTATCACAAAGAGTTGATGTTTGTCGTGCGCGTGAGTAATTCTGACATCCAGTGGCGAGCCGAGGTCTGGCTCGGAGTGTAGTCGCACTTGTCGTGTCGTAGAGGTAAGACGTACTCCGGAGGGGTCCTCACACCAGAGGTCCTCACGCTGCAGAGGTCCTCACGCGTCACGTCCACTGAGTCGTCCTGTGCTGCCGCGCGGCGCAGGGCGCAGCGTCCCTAGGCTGCCGCTTCTCCAGGTTGCGTGGCAGCACCTGGAGCGACACACATGAGCCGTCAGCAGCCATGATCATGGGTTATTGAGTCAGCAGGTTTCCATCGACAAGCGCGAGACAAGAGGTACTAGACAACAATTGATAAGCAAAGTTGGAGAGGGAGTGCAAAATACGGAGCCCGTCCTCACACATTATTGTTTTGTTGTTGCGAAGTACGTGTCGAGTGGGAGTTTGTGGAGATCTCTCTCTCTCTCTCTCTCTCTCTCTCTCTCTCTCTCTCTCTCTCTCTCTCTCTCTCTCTCTCTCTCTCTCTCTCTCGAGTTTTTGGTAAAATTCTTGGGCTACGGGCTAGAGAGCCCTGACCCCTAGCTAGGGGGGGTGCGCGTTCGCAGGGCAAGGGCTGTAAAGTAAACACGGGTCTCCGAGGGTTAGCTCCGCGCTCCAGGTTTCCCCTAGCAGCAGAACGCCCCCTCTACTCGGAGCTAGTAAACACTCGACACGGACTCGACGCCCATCCACACCCGGCACCTCACCACACCGGGCCCCTCTTCGAGGTCTCCCAACTTGATGTTTAAATTCTTTTTCTTACTCGCGTCTTCTGATTTGTTAAGTTCTTTTTCGAGCGATATAAAATTCTTTTCCGCTTCCCCCACGTGCCAGTGCGCGCCAGTCCCGTGCGAATATCGTAAATTCTTTTTCTTGTCGCGATGGTGAGAAGCGCGGACAGCGCCCCTCAGGCGCTGCTCTTCGCCGAGTTCGACAACCGGCTCGGCCGCACACTCTCGCTCCAGGAGCCGCCCGGCTACCTCTCCACCGCTGCCTTTGACGCCGTGTGCGACGTGCTCATACCGAAGCCGCAGCTGTGCGCTGCCAGCCACACCGTTTCTGACCAGCCCACGCCTCGCCGCCTCCTCGCCCTTCACCGCCGCCGCCCTCGCCGACACTGCCACCACATCGTCAATCGCCAGCATGCCACCAGCTCCGCCGCCGCTGCCGCCACTGCCACCGCCACGTTTACCGCCGCCGCCACCGCCGCCACCGCCTCCGCCGCTGCCGCGGCCTCGCAGGTGCAATCAGCTGCTAGTGCTGCGCGACGCGAGTCGCTCCGTCCTCTGCTGGCCGGTCTGCCTCGAGGGCGCACAGTACGAGCGCAACGCTAGATGCGGAGACACAGACCTCGGTCCGACGTCAGCTGTAGCCGGACCACCGCCTCTGCCCACTACCGCGGTGTCCGGTGACTAGTCGGACCCGTTAGGCCCCCGCTGCTCATATCTCTACACCTCTCTGACACCCTCCACACCTCACATGAACAGCATGCATCTCTCGTGGATGTGCTTGCGCCGCACTCTCCCGATGCCTTGAACTACCTTGGGCCCGTGCTTGCGCTGATGCGCTGATCTCTCCACTTGACGCTCCCCATTCACACACAAAAACACAACCCCCCAGTCAGAAGTCAGCGCTGGGTCCCAGGAAGGCGAATGCGAATGCTCCCCATTCACACGGTGCTCTGAAGACTCTGCACACTACCGACGGCACGCCCTCACGTCGGTCTTCCGACCCCTTACTCACCCTCACCCTCACCCTCACCATCACCCTCGCCCTCACCCTCACCCTCACCCTCACCCTCACCCTCACCCTCACCCTCACCCTCACCCTACCTCTGACCCTGACCCTCACCCTCACCCTCACCCTGACCCTAACCCTGACTGGCCCTGATCCTAGCACTTTCATGACGGAGGCTGCTGTCGCATGGCGGGAGATCTCTGCCCTTCCCCAAAAACACAACCACGGACCCAAGACGCACAAGCCCAGACAGTCGAGACAGGGATAGACCGCAACGACAGTCAGAAGTCAGCGCTGGGTCCCAGGGCGAATGACCCTTCCCCCCACCCCTAGCACACCATGGCCGCTGCTCTGACGCTGAAATGACTCCACTTGAAGCTACTGACTCCACTTGACGCTAATGACTCGACTTGACGCTGATGAGTCGACGCCGTAGGAGCGCAACGCGCTCTTATTCTCGCTCGCCCTCGTCCTCCGCCCGACCGCCGGAGCAGACGGCAGAGGCGGCGGTGGTGGCGAGGACTGTGCCAGCAGGTACGGCACGGTGCTGCGGCGTGCGTGCGAGCACCTGACTGCTCTCGAGCGGCGAGACAGGCTATTAATTAATTAATTAGTTAATTAGTTAATTATTGACTGCTCTCGAGCGGCGAGACAGGCTATTAATTAATTAATTAATTAATTAATTGACTGCTCTGGAGCGGCGAGACAGACTATTAATTAATTAATTAATTAGTTAATTAATTAATTAATTAACTGCTCTCGAGCGGCGAGACAGGCTGCTGTCGACGTGCGCGTCGCGCGGGAAGCTAGGTGTTCCCGGGCACTTTCTCATCCTCTCACTCCCAGCGCCCAGCACACTCACTCTGTTCATAGCGCGCACTGGCCTTCTCCTCTGTTCATCTCCTTGAGTCGCTCTCTCTCTCTCGCCGATGCGGCCCGCTGCGGCGCTCGTCTACCTCGCGAGCGTCGCCCGAGTGGCCGCCATCCAGTACTAGGCCACATCCTGCCGGCGCTGCTGCACGGGCTGCGGCAGGAAGGAGGCTGCACGCTCGCGCTCGACTCGGGGCACACGATGAGGCTCGAGCTGCCTCCGCCGCCCAGGCCTCCGCCTCCAAAGGTGGCCGAGCACCTTGTCCCGGCGCTGTTGGCGAGGCCGGACGCTCCCACGGCACTGCGACCCTAGAAGCGGAGTCTCTCCCCACACCTCCCCGCATCTCCCCGTTATCTCCCCGTATCTCCCCATATCAGGCCAGCACCTGGGACCTGACAGTTCGAGATGTAGGGGAGATACAGGGGAGATACAGGGGAGATGATCATGACGTAGGCCAGCACCTGGGACCTGACAGTGCGTCGGCTGCTCGGCGCGATCGATGGCGTGCGAAGTGAGCAGTAATTAATAACTAATTAATAATAATCAATCATTAGTTAGGCGCGATCGATGGCGTGCGAAGTGTCAGCGCGCTCGCGGCGGCGTGCGCCGTCGACGTGCCGCTTGCGCAGCGAGCTTTGCAGGCCCCGGCAGTTAGTGGGTGGGTGAGCTAGGTGACTGAGCAGCGAGCGCCGCAGGCCCCAACGGAGAGAGAGTTGATTGATTGATTGGCTGCGCAGCGAGCCCCTGCCGTCCCCCATCCGTAGCCACGTGTGTCTCCCCTATATCTCCCCTATATCTCCCCTATATCTCCCCTACATCTCCCCTATATCTCCCCTATATCTCCCCTACATCTCCCCTATATCTCCCCTATCTCTCCCCTACATCTCCCCTATATCTCCCCTATATCTCCCCTATATCTCCCCGCCAAGGCGCTGCTCGTGGCCGGCTGGATCCTGCTGACCGAGCCCTTCGCCTTTGCGCACGCATACGCCGCGACGCCGCGCCTCCGCCTCCTCTTCGCCTCCTCGTCGCGCATGGCCGATCGGGCGAGGCACGCTGCTCGCCCCTCCGCGGACGCGCCGCTGCCTCTCCTCTCGGCGCTGCTGCAGCTGCTGTGCGCGTTCCGACCGGCAGACTCGCTCTCGCCGTCGTCGGGGCAAGATGTAGGGGAGATGCGGGGAGATCTAGGGGAGATCTACGGGAGGTGTAGCGCAGACGCTCGCCCTCGTTGGGGCACTGGGCGGCCTGTGACCGCGGGGGTGAGGCGGACTTCTCTTCACAGCTGCGGCCGTGAACAGGCACTGGACGTCTGTGCTGGCGGCGTGCGCTGCGCACCCTGCGGAGGCGGCGGCGGTGTGAAGTGCGGCGGCTGGCCGTTTTCACACCCCCTGTTTAAAGCCCCCCCCCCCCCCCCCCCTTCCCCCAGGCGGCGGCGGTGGACGTGCGGCGGCTGATTTGCTTCGCCACCTCCAACGGCCTCCTGCGGCGTGTGCACACCTAATTAATAATTAACTGATCAATAATTACTAATGAACTAATAGGCCTCCTCCGGCGTGTGCACACCTAATTAATAATCAACTGATTAATAATTACTAATTAATTAATAGGCCTCCTCCGGCGTGTGCACACCGTGCCTGTCGCGCCGCCCGTCGAGGGCTTCGGCCACGCCGCTTGCGAGGCCGAAGCGGAGGAGGCGGCGACGCTGCTACCCGCTCACATGCACCCTACCGGCACGGGGCTTCTGCCGTCGGCGCAGCCTCTCCCTCCGCCGCCACAGCCGCCGTCTCCGCCGCTGCCGGCCCCGCCCGAGCTTCGAGACATCGCGGTGCGAAGCCTCGGCTCTGCGGACAGGGAGCGGCAGCGCAGCCTGGGCTCGCTCTCCACGGACACCGTCTGCTCGCTCTCCTTCTTGGTGCGCGAGGGGGGAAGCACTTCGGGTGACCTCGGGTGACCTCGGGTGACCTCGGGTGACCTCGGGTGGCCTCGGGTGACCTCGGGTGACCTCGGGTGGTTTCGGGTGACCTCGGGTGGTTTCGGGCAATCTTGGGTGGCCTCAGATAATCGCAGGCAATAGCAATCTCTCGGCTCATCGTCTCTCGGCTCACCTCGGCTCATCTCGGCTCATCTCGGCTCATCTCGGCTCTTCTCGGCTCATCTCGGCTCATCTCGACAGGTGCGCGAGGAGGAGAGCAGCAGCCCGATGCAGCACCACCAGCGCCACCAGCCAGACCACCCGCAGCACCACAACCTCCTCGGCGGCGGAAGCATCGCCCTCACTCTCGCCGGCCACAACCAGCACCAGCAGCACCAGCAGCACCAGCAGCGGCAGCAGCAGCAGCAGCAGCAGCAGCAGCGGCAGCGGCAGTCGCAGCTTCACCACCAGCACTCCCCTCCCGGAGCCGCCGCGGGGAGAGGGCGCTCCTCGGCGCTGTCGGAGCCTCCGATGCCCGGGGTGAGCTGCGCCACTACGCGCGCCGGTCGGCGGTGTGGACGGCGTCTCTTCACCGCAGCCGCGTGTGTGAACACAGGCGAGCGGCGCCCACGCGCAGCCCTCCTCGGCGCCCCGTCCGGCGGCGGCACACCGCACCGGCGTGCACGGCGCGGGCGGGCGGGCGGGTCTGGTCGGCGGCGGCGGATGGCGCCACTTGTGCGACGGGCGCCATACCATGGACCAGATCTGCTGTGAGCTCGGCCTCTCGCCGGAGGCTGCGGAGCGGGCGCTGCTGCTGGCGTGCCCCTCGCTCGTGTGGCTGCGGCGGTGAGGGCGGCGGCCCGGTCGCGGGTCGGGCCCGTTTGGCATGCAACCCATCCTCGCGCGCGCGTGTTGACCCTCTCAAAAATCAGTCAAAAATGGGGGATGTCTGCTACCTTCGAGCACGCTGCCTTTTTTTTGGAAGAAGATTTTGAAACTGTGAACCCCCACGAACCGCGTGCACCGCGAACACGCAGCCACGCAAGCACCATCATTCCTCATAGAGCCATACCAGAAAGAACCGTCGAAGGCGTGTTGAACATCTCAACTGCTGCCTGTGAGCCTCGTCTGCAGCTGGCCATGCACACGCAGGAGCACTTCCAAATCTCTCGCACTCGGGCCTACGTACAGCGCATGCGACTGTGAGCATGGGGCCGCTCACGGCATCGGTTTCTCGGGATCGCGTGGGCCGATTCGAGCCGGTGACGGACGATGAGGCTCGCAGGCAGACGCAGGGCAGCCGAGCGCGCCGCCAGCTCCCTCGAGGTGTGCGATCGCGGCCCGCCGTTCGCCACGTTGGAGGCTGTCTGTCGCGTGGGTGAGCTGCTCCAGGGCCGATAGCCTCCGAATCAGCGTGGCCCTCAGTTCAGGATCGAGCCTCCTGGGGCGCTCAAGTACGGCCGCTCTGTCTCAAAACCCCATCGCAGCTTCCCGGAGTTCGGAGATTAAAAGAAACACAATTTCCCGCGACACGAGGCGGGCGCCCGCCAGCTTTCGTCTGAGCCCGTGGCGGTCGCCGGCTGAGTCGCTGTGCACGGGCCGGTACCTCAGGCGTCACCTCCGTAGCCTCAGGTCTCACACTCCATCACCGCCGCCGGGACGCCGTCGGTGGCACGCTCGGCGGCGTACTTTTTCATTGCAAGCCATCCTCGCGATCAGCGCTCGGCCGTCGTCGCTCCGAGTGCGCACCGGCCGAGAGGCCGATTGCCGACAGCAGCATGGCGGCGTGCACCCAAGATTCCATGTTTATCCACATTTTTTCTTTTTTTGGCCCGGCCATCCGCACCGCTGCACCGCACTCCTCTCCGTGAAAAGCCCTGTGTGGTGGCGGCGTGCCCTCCTCCCTTGGCGTGTCAGTGTCTGCAGCTAGCTCCTGGAGCGTAGCGTAAGGCGGCCGGCGGTAGGGCGACGGAGTGGCCTTGTATTGCACCATGCCGATGTTGGCCGACGCCGACGCCAACCGCTGCCTGCTCGCCGCCACCGCCGGCTCGCTCGCCGCCACTCGCCTCGGTGGCGGACTCCGCACGTGCGGTCGGTGGGCAGCCGGTGGTGCGGCGATCGTGCTGGCGCACGACCTCGCTGGCGGCTGGGCGAGACGTCGGCTGGCACGGCTTCCTGTGCACCCTACCCGCCTGCTCGAGCTCTCGGTGACCCGCGTGGAGTGGCTCGCAGCCAGCAGCGCAGCGCTGCTGTCGGCCGGCACGCTTGCTGCTGGCGTGCGGCTGATTGGGACGCGCCCGTCGCTTGCGCTGCCATTTTTTGCGATGCCGTCACTGTACGTGGCGCTCGGGCTCCGGGAGGAGCTGGTGGTGCTGCGGGCAAGCGGGTCGGACTCTCTCTACCACGCCGTCCTCGCGAGCCTCGCCTCCGCGCCAGCACTCGCCGCCATGCCCGCCCGCGTCGCGGCTTGCATCGGCACGCCGCTGCTGCTGCCGCCGCTGCTCGCAGGCTACCTCGCCTCCTCCTCCATGCCGCCGCCCCTCCCAGCCGCATCGGAGGTGACGTCCGCCGTGGCAGCCCTGCTCGGCGCCCCCGCCGGAGCCTTCCCGGAGCCGTCCTCCTTCGCGCACCGTCTTGAGGGCGGAGAGCGCAGCGGCGCCCTTCCCTCGCCGTTTGGTGGCGTCAGTGATATGGTCGGCGCGAGCAGCGGCGGAGAGAGAAGCGGTTGCGACGGCGGCGACGGCGGCGACGGCGGCAACGGCGGCGACGGCGGCGACGGCGGCGACGGCGGCGACGGCGGCGACGGCGGCGACGGCGGCGACGGCGGCGACGGCGGCGACGGCGGCGGCTTCGGCAGAGGCGGAGGGGATGGCGGCGGGGGTGGCACTGCCGATGAAATCACTGGGGAGGGTCCGGCAGAAGGATTGCTCGGCGGCAGCGATGGCGGAGGAGGCGGAGGAGGCGGAGGAGGCGGAGGAGGCGGAGGAGGCGGAGGAGGCGGAGGAGGTGGCGGAGGAGGAGGTGGAGGAGGAGGCGGAGGAGGAGGTGGAGGCGGCGGAGGCGGAGGCGGAGGCGGTGGAGGCGGAGGCGGTGGAGGAAGAGGCGGAGAAGGTGGAGGAAGAGGTGGTGGAGAAAGAGGAGGAGAGGCTGCAGAGCTGCCGCCGCCCTCTCTTTCGGACGGCCCGCCGCCTTCTCGTGCTCCGGGCACGCACTCCCTCGGCACCGCGGCGGACGAGGCGGTCGGGGAGGCGGCGGGCGGCTCTGCGGCGGGCGGCGTGGTTGCGCAGCTCGTGCGGCTGCACGAGGCGGGTGCACTGACGCTGGCAGAGCTGTGCGAGGCGCGGCAGCGTGTCCTGGCGGCGGAGGCTGCGGAGGTGCGGAGGAGGGGGGGCGGGGACGAGGCGGGCTGGCTGCCGGAGGCTGCGGGCACCGCGGTGCAGGGTGCCGCGTGGGCGGCGGAAGAGGCGGGCGGGCTTGCGCTGCGGGCTGGCAGCCTGCTCGCTGCGCCGGTGGCGTGGGCGTGGGGCGGCGCTTCCTCCGCCTCCGAGCGGGCGGCGGCGGCGGCGCGCGCCGCTACTCTCCGCTGCGCGCAGCTGGTGGTGAAGGCTGCGGAGCGGTCGGGCTGGCTGTCGAGCTGTGTCACGCCGAGAGGGGGTCGAGAGGCGGCGCTTGCGAAGGCGGCGCTGGGGGAGGCGGCGCTTGCGGAGGCGGCGCTGGGGGAGGCGGCGCTTGCGGAGGCGGCGCTGGGGGAGGCGGCGCTTGCGGAGGCGGCGCTGGGGGAGGCGGCGGGCGGGGACAGCGGCGGCGGCGGTGCGTGTCAGGGCGGCGGGCTTGACGGATCGACGACGCGCCGCGACGAGGCGCTCCGCTCCCTCTGCGTCGCTCTCGCCGCGCCGCCGCTCGCCCACATGCCGCCACCCGCGGTGCTGGCACTGCTCGGCACGGCGACCGACGGCGTCGCTCCGCCCCCAAGCGCATCGAGCGCGCGGCCAACCGGCGAGGGGCTCTTTGCGTGGCTTGCGCGCCAGGCAGCCCGTTCACAGCTCGAGGTGTGAAGAGACGCTGTTCACAGGTGTGGCTTGCGCGGCAGGCGAGCGTGCTGGGTGCGAGGCTGGAGCAGGGCATCGCCGAGGCGACCCTCGAGGCCGCCGAGCCCCACTGTATACGGAACTACTCACGTAGTAGTCATTGATTACGAATTAGGCAAACCTCGAGGCGCCGAGCCCCACGCGCCCGGACGGCGCCGCAGTCGCGTCTCTCTCACTGGAGCCCGTGCTGGTGCTGACGACGGTTGGCGCAGACGCGGCGCTGCTGTCGCCGGCGAGGGAGTACGCGCGTCGGCGCGCCAGCAGCCTCGTCGACGCGTTGGCGCCGAGGTTCGCCGAGATACGCCGAGGTACGATCGAGCGGCGCGCGGGCGGGGAGGGGCAGCCGTCGGCGGCGGCTCTCGGCCACGCCTTCCTTCCGTCGGAGCTTGAGCACGCTAACCGTGGTCGAGGGGCTGGAGAGTTAGTTGTTAATTAGGCAGGAGAGTCCACACTTTGTTGAGTAGGCACGCTACCGTGGTCGAGGGGCTGGAGCCCGTCTGGCCGCGCGGCGTTGGCGAGCCGCCCTGCTGGCGCCTCCCCACGGCCTGGTTCCGATGGTTCGCGTCCGGCGACTTGCTCGTGCTCGCTCTGCTCCTCGCCCTCAAGGAGCTGCGCTGATGACGGCGTGTGCGGGCTGGCTGGCGCCTGGCGGGCGCTGGTCGAGGCTACGGGAAGCAAAACAGTCTCCGTGCATATCTTGCCTTTGTGAATTCCTTAGCTTTCCACATTTCGCAGCAAGTCGGAGTTATAATGACCGAGTTCACAGCCTTGTTGGGAGAAGAGTTCTTAAAATACAAGCCTCTCTCACAGACAAGGGCGCACACACCGCTCACCCACGCGCAACGGGCCTTGCACTTTGAATGCCGTGGGGCTCCTGTCGTTAGACGTGGAGACGCGAGGGTTGCCCCCCCTTGCCCCACCACACCTCGTGTGTGTGGAGAAGTTTACCTTACCTTACCTTACCTGGCCCGCTCCGCACACCGCACAGTGCTGCAGATGTGACTGATTGACTCAAGACCGCCAGGTACGAGGTAGCGCACCACGCTACTGGAACAGGCGCAGTGTGGCAGTGCAGGGCCAGTACAGAGACCCGCGCGGCGGTGGTCTGTCAGCTCAAGAGCCATCGGCCGTGCGCCGACCTTCTACCTCCTTCTGCCCTCTCTGGCCGTTACGCTGTCCGCGCCGCTCTGAGCAGCCTGCGCGGCGACCAGCTCCTGCGACCCTCGAGACCTCGAGAGCTGCTGGGTGGCGCTGGAGCCGCCGAGGTAGCCGCGTGCGCGGGCAGCGGCGGGCGCCAAGTGCCTGCGGGCGGCGGACAGCGAGAGTGTGAACGGCGCCTCTTCACAGGGCCAGCCGTGAACACGGGCCTGCAGGCGGCGAGCGCGACAGAGAGCATCGCGAGGGCGGTGAGAAGGAACGAGAAGGCGACGTCGAAGGGCGGGCCGACGCCGCTTGAGAGCGACCAGGCGAAGAGGACGGCGCCTGGTCACGGCCGTGAGCTACTGTGAAGGCGACACTTCGGCTTCCTGGGACCCGGTGCTGACTTCTGACTCTCGTTGCTGTCTCTCCCTTCTCGACTGTCTTGGGCCCGGTTGTTGTGGTTTTTGCGTGAAGGCGACGCCGTCCGAGCTCGAGAGCGAGGCCGGGCGAGTGGGGCTTATGTCCATACCGCGGGTATAGCCGCACTCTAGTGGTAAGGAGATATGGGGAGATGTGGGGGGATGTGGGGAGATGTGGGGAGATAGCCGCACTCTAGTGGTAAGGAGGTAGTGCTAGCACCCCAGACCTCTCTAGGTCCCGCTCAGTGCTCGCTTTCTCCTGCTACGCTGGGCGGGGAGGCAAGCGCCGAGAGTCGGCCCGCCGGCTTTGCACAAGGAAGACAGGGACATCGAGAGCCCATTCACGCGCCCCCGCAGCTCCGGCGCCACGGAGTCGTTGATCATCAGAAAGATGGACCTGTTCACGCCTCGAGGCGTGAACAGACGCCGTTCACAGGCGCCACGGAGCCGCTGACCATCAGAACGACGGACGTGTAGCATCCACTCGCCACGCACTTTGAGGCCGAATAGTGCGCCGCCAGCAGCATGCGCAGCCAGGCGGGGGGGGAAGAGGCCCCGCCGTCGCCGCCTGAACGACCCTCACTACCCAAGGCAGGCTCCTCGTCCCCGCCCCGCACCCCCGACGCCGCCTCGAGCCCCTCCGCCGCACCGCCCCCCTCCAGGGGGAGGGGGAGGGGGAGGGGGAGGGGGCGAGGGTCGAGGGGCGCGAGGAAAGGGGTGGCGGCGGCGATGACAGCGTACAGCACGGCGCAACGCGCAAACATGACAGACGGCGCACAGCGCGCGGCGAGAGGAGGGTAGAGGAGGAACTGGAAGGTGACGAGGGCGGCGCCAGAGCAGGCCATGATGGCGCCTGTTCACGGCCTCCTTTCCTCTCCCCCTCAGCAGCCGGCGGCAGTGGTGGCGCTTGGGCGAGGCGATGGTGGCGCCGATGTCTCCGCTGTGCATGGCGAGCCCACCCTCGTCCCGCGGCGCAACCTGTTCACAGCTGGAGGTGTGAACAGCCGCCGTCCACCCGCATGGCGAGCTCTCCCTTGCCTCTCCTAGTCTCGCCTAATCTCAGCTCGTCTCGGCTGATCTCGAGGACCAGCCACAACCGGCAGAATCTCGGCCAATCTCAGCTCATCTCGGCCGATCTCGTACCAGCCACAGCGGGTAGAGCTCGTCGAAGAAGATAGTCGCGCCCGAGAGCGCGCAGTACACCAGCACCGGAGCCCACGCCTGCGCACAGCTAGACGCGTGCTCAGGCGCCGTTCACAGCAGCACACACGCACCGGGACCAAAGCCCACGCCGACGCTGGGAGCCCCCCGTACCCTCCTCCTCCTCCACCCCCTCCCCCTCTGCAGCAGCCGCCGCCCGCGCCGCCGCAGCACCGCGCCCGCCGCAGCATCGCTGGCAGCGGCAGCGCCATCGCCGCCCGCGCTTCGCCGACGAACCCCCGCAGCGCTCCTCTCCGTGCATCGCCACCGCCGCCGCCGCCGCTGCTGCTGCTGCCGCCGCCGCCGCCGCCGCCACCGCTGCTGCAGCTGCCGCCGCCGCCGCCGCCGCCGCCGCCGCTGCTGCAGCTGCTGCTGCCGCCGCCGCATCTGCCGCCGCCGCCGCCGCCGCCGCCGCCGGCGCCGTCAGCGGCGGCGGCCTCAGCGTCTCCCTTTGGCTCCGTCACGGCCCGCAATCCTGTCCTCGTGCCGCGCCTGTTCACAGGCAGCGCCGTGAAGAGACGCTGTTCACAGCTCGCAGCAAACGCCGCCCTCGCGCGCGCGCGTCTCGGGCAGCCAGACTCGAACCAAGCCGAGGGCAGCCTACGCTCACTCTCGGGGTGATTGAAACGAGCTCGGAGGCACAGGACGCGGCACGAATACGGCACACACGCCAGGCTACAAACGCGGGGGCTCTCGCGGTGTGTGTGGCAGTGTCAGCTGGCGGAGTGTCGGTTTTGAGTATGGGTGTTTGTGTGCCTCTGTGTCTGTGTGTCGCTCCAAGCGTGCCGACGTCTCCTGTCTAGCGTCCGCTCATGCCCGCGCCCCTATCCAGTCCAAGCCCGTGGCTGCTCTTCACCTCTCTCTCGCTCTCTATCTGGCAGCCAGTGCGAGGCCGGCGCCGAGCGAGGTTGGCAGCAGCGCCGGCGCGTCGACGCCTGTTCACAGCTGAAGGTGTGAACAGGCCCCGAGCGAGGTTGGCAGCGGCGCCGGCGCGTCGACGCCGGCGAAGAGAGGGACCCCGTAGAGCAGGCCGCCGAGCGCGGGTCCTGGTGCAACGGACCAGTTCAGAGTTCATCGGTAGCGGGCGCATGAGAAGAGAGCCTGTCTGCGACGATGTGTTGCTGCGAGTTGTGGGGCTGTGATTCGTGTCACCACCGTCTGTGTTGATGATAAGGCCGCCGGACACTGCCTGCGACATTGCCGAGGCCCCACATGCCAGAGATGGCGGACATGGCGCGCGGCTGCTGCGCCGCAGTCACCAGCTCGGGCAGCATCGCCTTTGCGACACATGCGACGCCTTCTCGCAGCGATGATGAGATTGTGGCGTGTCTCACTGAGCGTGCGGCCTTTGCGACACCGATGATGCCGTTGAAGAGGCCCATGAGCAGCCTCGCCGCGAGCGCCGCGCCAAAGGTCGGCGCGAGGCCGAAGAGGAGCTGGAAGATGATGCAGGAGAGGAGGCCGATCTCGATGACGAGGACGCGGCCGTGCTTGTCCGACAGCAGGCCGAGGTGGTACGACGACATGGCACGACCAAGCATGAAGGCGGAGAGGATGAAGCCGCCGTAGTAGCCAATCTCGGCGCGGTCGTCGGTGAGGCCGTAGTGCAGGACGAGGAAGGGCGCGAACGGGAAGGGCGACGCCATCGCAACCGCGTTCGCGAACAAGGCGATGAGCAGTGCGAACATCGCCCGGCACGGCCGGTCGAGGGCAGGCGCCGCGCCTCCGGCCTCAGCCATGCGGGCTTGGTGCGGGCTTGGGGTCGCTTAGGCGGCTCCGGTGGTGTGCCGGTGTGTGTGCCAGTCCGCGCCAGCTGTTCCTGTCGTGGACTGGCGCAAAGAATTCTTAAAATACAAGCCTCTCTACGAGGCACGGTCGCTCTCCGACATGAGGCGCGTTGCACTTGCCAGTGCTGCCCTGGCCTTCTGTCTGCCCGCCCAATGGGTGGGAGTGCCTCTGCTGCTGTGGCATGCCTCACGGCTGCGACTGGCCGGCGCCTCGGCGCCACGCGGCGGATGTAGAGCTCTACAGCTCTACATCTCTACAGCTCTACAGCGCTCTACACTCTACATCCTCTACACCCTCCCTCAGGTGTTGGTGTGGAGGTGGCGGGCGTCGGCTTTGGTGTTGACTGTTGTTCTGAGAGGGTGCGACTCGTCAGGCGCGACTCGCCGCCGCCGCACGAACGCCAGCCCCGCCGCCGCCCGCTCGCCCACCCACGACAGCGCCGCCTCGCCCTCTGCTTGCCCCGCGGGCGCCTCCGCGCCGCCCCGCAGCATGGTTCGCCCGCCCGCGCCCCCTCCCCTCCTCCGCGGTCCTGGCGCCGCTCCCTCCCGGTGACTCCTCGGCGGGTGCGGCTGCGGGCGGCGGGCGAGGCGGGGCGAGGCCTAGGACGAGAGGGACTGGTGTGTGGACGAGAAGCACCCGAAGGGTGGAGAGAGTCTAATGGCGGCGGAGG